GCGAGGCCTCGGATCGGGCTTGAGGAGGGGGCGCCAGGACCCCCCAGGGCCAGAGGAGTGGGCCCGGACCCCCAGGAGCGGGGCAGCAGGGCCCAGGACTCCCCAGCGCTCGGCGTGAGGCCCAGGATCCCCCCAGGGTCCCTTTCCCCCACTGGAGCTAAAGCCCCAGCTCCCCCCCCATCTGTACTGATGGCTTCACCTGTGTGCTAATAGTATATTTTTTAATCCTTCCCTTTTATTTTGGGGGGTTTTAATCATTTTTTTATGTTTCCTTGTCTCCCTGAGGCAGGCTGGGTGCAGGGCAACCCCGAGGGGGTGTCGGGCCACCCCAGGGTGATTTCTGCCCGTGCGCCACGGCCGCTTTTGTGGTCTGGACAGCAAAACTACTACGAGCCCAGCACAAGGTGGAAGAGCTGGAACAAAACCGTGTTAGTCTGCCTGCAAAATATTGTGTTAAATGTTTCACCGAAAGCTTCGGCGAAACAGTGCGCACACAGAAAGGGTGGCAGAGAGCAACAGACAGTCTGGGATGAGGGTGACAGGGGGGACAGAAAATCCCACATCTGTCTTTGCTCTCCTCCTGCCGCAGAGGCTGGATGATAATGGAGACGAGATGTCATCAGGGTCAGAGGTCCAGCCAGGCTGAGCTTACTTTTAGGAAGAGATCCTCATCTTCAGCCTCACTGCTTGTTCCAGGGCTTACTGCCACTAAACTGTACAAAAAACTTTCCTTGTTTTCTAGGTGATTAGGTCTTGTGAGTAGCCCTCTCTCTCTCTCACTGTTGCTCAGCCCCTGGAGCACCCATAGATATTTCAAAAGACCCTTTTTTCTCTTGTTTTTCCTCAGCATTCCCTGTTTTCAGTGTTTTCCAAGTTTGGGCCGCTCTACTCCGTGCGAGCACACAGAAATGCTGCTGTGGCAGGGCCTGGATATTACGCCATCATCAAGTTTTATTCAGCTGGAGATGCTAGCAGAGCCCAGCGCGCGTGCAACGGGCAAAGGCTGTTTCAGAAATCTCCCTTGAAGGTAAGCAGAACGGCCCCAGCTGTGCAACTTGCAGGACTCAGCACCGTGACCTGCAGCAGCAGGGTAGAATCACATTAAATACTTGTTGATCTCAGTGATGTTTCCTGTGCAAAAAGTTTACTACCTTGTGGCTGGGCACTACCACTGTGGTTACATCCCCCACCGCTGGCTCCCAGGTAGCATTTAAGCAGTAAAATGGCAGCATCCCTCCTCTGGAATAATTTGCAGGGCCTGTTCCTGGGTAAAAAATATTTAGCATATCTCAGAAGCATGCAATAGGTTACCTTCGGATGACTCTCCCGGAGCTATCAGTGATGTGTCTGTAGTGGGAACCTTACAAGCAAAGCCTGGCTAACCAGGGTTCTTCTTTCCTGGACAGGTTTGTGTTTGCACCAAGCAGAAGGGGTTTCAGCAACAAGTCCTTGCTCTCAACAGCAACAAGTGCCAGGAGTTGGCCAACCATTACCTTGGCTTTAACGGCTGGTCCAGTCGCATCATCACAGTAAGGGGCCCTTCATCATCCTTCCCCTCATCTTCTTCTTAATTAGAATGGTTGGTGGAATAAGAAGAATTGTCCTCAAATCAGGAAGTAATAGACAGCTACAGGAGCTGCATTTTGGACCACAAAGGGGGGTCTTTTGAAAGCCTGGGGAGAGAAGATTGCTATGGGTGTCAGCACTGGCTTGCCTTCTGTTACAAAAAATGGAGGTGGCTGTGATTAAAGCATTGCAGGGCCTGACAGTAGTCTTCATGTGCTGAAAGTGTCTAAGATGACGGAGACTCCCAGAGGATGGGGACTATAAGGTATTTCTAAAATAGGGTCAAAACAGTAAACGTCCCTGCTCTGCCTTTACCGTGTGTTTCTGCCTTGGAGTCACGCGCTGTGCAGTGATGGTCTGTGGTATGCAAGCATAGGCCTAAGTGGTCATAACATCCCCTTCCTATTTAATCGAAATTAATTATCTGTGGTCTTCCCAACAGCTGCAGAATGTATCTGGATTTGGCATTGAGAATGAGGAACTGGGAAAGACATTACAGAAGCGATCAGTGAAATACCTGTGTGCTGTAGAGGTGACACTGCCCAACCATGGAGTACGCACAAGGGGAGTTGCCCTTGGCAAGGCAGATATAGAAAACAGTGAAGGTACGTTTTGGATGCAGCTGGAAGTCTCTCTTAGCAGCTGTTGCAGACCCTGGTCAATCTTGCTTTTGCATAGTTTGTGGGTCTGATAAAGCATCTGAATTTAGCTGGAGGCAAGGATCTGTGCAGGGCCTTGTGAGCTGCTGTGCTATGCAGCAAGGGATCCTGAACATGCCTCTTCCCTCCCTGCTTCACACCAGTATCGCATTCCTACCCTCCGTTCTCTCCCTCTTGCCTGCAGCGTTATTCATTCCCCATCACAGCCAATTCTGGTGTGAACATGCCATGTGATGGTGTCCATGGCACTGCTTGGCTGCCAGCGGGGCTCTGCACTGCCTGCTGCCCTCGGCAGGGTCCTGACACAGGCTTGAGGATCGTGTGCTGGCACATGAAGCCCCTGTGAGGGTGCTGCCATGCTGCTGACAGCTCCCGAAACTTAAGCAGCTTTCTTATCAGATCCATAAAGCTGTGTTTGGTGATATTTCCTAGTGCAATGCAGCTGGTGTGCTTCATATGCAGAGTGTCATCCTAATATCAATAACGCTGTTTGTTGTGTTCAGATCCTCTCGAGTTTGTCACAGCCACAAGAAGAGTTCAGAAACTCGCTGTTGGGAAAGCTTTGTCTAGTGCTTTTCAGAAGATACTCCTCGTAGTCTTAGGTAGGGCCTATTTTTTAATTAAACACTGGGGTGTTTGGGCTAATGGTATTATAACTTTCATGATAATTGATATGAATTCTTTTTCTCTGAACCTTTTTTGGGATTCATTGAGGCTTGGGGGGGTCTAAGGCAAAATTAGACTTGTGTTGTGGTTTGTAATGATTTAACAGAGTGGTTCCACCCTATGAGCTATGTGAGTGAAAGGAAAATCCAACAGGAGGTCAGATTTTATGATAAATAAGTCATTGAATGTCCAAATTCCAAGAGTCTAAACGCTGCCAGGGAGAGCTTTTTAACGCTACATGTGCATGCTGAATAGGGATGTGAGGAAGTTCTGCTTCCAGGAGTAACCTGAACTGAATTGCAGCATTTTGTACTTTCCTGTCCTGGTTCCAAGCCAGCCAGGTGCCGTCAAAGGTCCGTGCACCACTGTTGCGTTCAGTGTTGCTTCTTTGAGGCTGTTCTCTCCTTGGAGTTTTTAATCATAGAAGCTGGCTCTGTGCCTACCCAGGAACTGCTAGATCTGCCTTCTCTGGGTTCCAGGTCTTGTGCTTTCTGAGCTTTTAGGTAACGTCTGTTTATGTGATATCTGAGCACTTTAGTCTCTTACGCTTATCAGGACAGACCCTGATGGGATCAGGTCAGTGCTGCTATCCTCATTTTACAGAGAGGGGCCTTTCATCTGCCAGATTCCTCCCCTGGGTTCTTTAAGGTGTTCTTTATAAAGGCGGGTTTCTGGATTCAGGTGTGTCACCATTTAAGGCTGGGCCGAGGCTTACAGCGGGTGGCAGATGCTCTCTGTTAACCTTGTCCTTTCCCAGAGGAGGAAGAAGAGGAGAAAAGGGAGAGAGACTGACGGGTTGGAAACTTAAACCAAACTTTAATAAAATAATAACAGTGAAAAGAGTATGAATGATATTAGAACTAATACTACCGATAGTAGAAATAGAAATATACAAAAACGATATTGCCCTTCCCGATGATGGCCGCGGGACCGCGTGCCACACAGCAGTAGCTCGCAGTGCTCACAGGGCAGGGCAGGCACCCAGACGTCCACGAACTCGACTCCCCCGCAGGCAG